AATATTATTTACATATGTGATAAAATAATCGATATTCCAATAATGATTTTTGAAATATTTTTTTGAAACAGTTTCTGAAGGAATAAAAATAGTTGACTTTTGTATAGAACAATAGAACCCATTTGGAAATTAAAAACAGACTTATCGACTAATTTTCATCAAATCGTTAGGGGACATTTTAAATCGAAAATAAATTCGCAAAAAATTATTTATTTACCATATTTCAAACTTTATTAGTACCTAGGTATATTTTTTAGATTCTGAACGAAGTGATGAATGTATTGATTTTACAATGATGTGTGTGTGTTTTTTTTTTTTTTTTTTTTTTTTTTTTTGTAATAGATAAGACCGGTCATATTTTCTCTCATCGTTACAGACTCCCATTGTAAAAATTGCTTCACACACAATTTATTATTATAGTAATTAGTAATTATAAAAACAGCAAACATACACTGGTAGGAAATTGTGTCACCAAGCTGCAAAATTATTTAAAAAAATTAAATTAGTCTATGTAGAGGTAAACATTAGGTACCTAATCTAAAAAATGATTATAGGTAGGGCGGTATCGGTATCTACAATTYATTTATACATTTTTAAATTAATTGAACTTGAATCTTTTGTTCAAAATAATATTTATAGATAAATATTCTATGGCATGAAAAACCAGGAACTTAATTACTAAATAGTAAATACTAAAAGGTAGTTTATTTTTTGTTGTTAACTGGCGACATTGGATACTATGTTACCAAATAAATAAATTATAATAAAGATTAAAGAAAYWATACTGTGTTTCATCGTCTACTTAGAGTCTATGAATGCCAGAGGAGAAAAATGCTTTGATAACTTAGACAAATTTATAGTCCAATGTATAATGAATCCGGAACAATAACTCTGGATTTTGTTTTTTATTGCATAAAAAAGTCTAAAAATACGAAATATTCTAATACATTTTTATTCTTAATTGTATACCTAATGTATTATATGGGTACATATATATATATAATATTAATTTATGATGTGTAATTAATTTTCTTATACAATATTATTATTTTTGATWACTATTTCTTATACTTACCTACAGTTTACAAATATTATAGTTCTGTTGTTCTGTATACAAATTTAGAATAATGGTCAATTTAAAAGTAAGTTAAAAAATAAATAAGAAAAGTTGTAAACTTTTAGGCTTTTACAAATATTATAGGTAAACAATTTWAAAAAATAGTTWATAATATTTTTATAATATTTATAACACCCAAAAGGTTTATATTTGTTCTTATACATTTTTGAAATCGTTTTTATATTGACCATTATTTTAAATAATAATCATAAATTAAAGTAATCAAATATCATTAATATYGTGTAGTAAATAATTTASATTTATCAATATTTTTTACTATGATACGATATGAATTCTAAAAATATTTTTGAATCTGATGTGAAGTCTACTCAAGATACTCTTTTGCGTTAATAAAAATAATATATCGGTATTCGGTAGGTTATTTGTTGGGTAATTATTCAATAACATGTATAGTATAAAATATACAGGTTTAGTTTAAATTAAATACCATTGTTCCGATTAAWWAATTAA